TTTAAACCAGCACCAATGTACATTCTTGATGAAGTGGATGCAGCTCTTGATTTATCACATACACAAAACATTGGACAGCTGTTACGAACTAGATTTAAAGGATCACAATTTATTGTGATATCATTAAAAGAAGAATTATTTAATAATGCTAATGTTTTGTTTATTGCAAGATTTAGAGATGCTACATCAATTGTCGAAGTAAGTGGTTTATAATAATGTTGTTATTGTTGTTGTTGTTGTTGTGTATGCTAATTCAAATTCTTTTTTTTTTTTAGAGAAAAACAAGAGCTTAAATAGATACACAAGAAAAATATAAAAATAAAAAATTGAATATATAAATTTATGTTTTTATATTTTATTAGCCTTTAAAGCAATTTTACTCACATCAAGTGTTTTTACTTATGTCATTTTTGACTTAATGGAAGCGAATTTGATGTAATAGTTTTATGGTGCCAATCATCAAATGCTGCGCCAACCAGTGAAATTTTTCTATGAAAATCATTCCTTTTATGGAATGCGATTTTTAACAATTTTTTAATTCAAATGTATTCCTTTTTTTTTTTTGTTAAAATGCCTAAACGGGACCCCGAACAATCTTAGTAGATGGTATATTTGAAGATCACCTTTTCTCTGCCCACTTTTTTTAGAAAATTATACCCAAAAAATTTGAAAAATACCCAAAATTCAAATATACCTATCATTTTTTTTTTAAACTGACTTTTTTTTTAATCGTATTTCTTTTTAATGCATATTCTAAGCAGCGACAACATCACAAAACCATAGTAATTTATTTAAGCAGACTCAATTAAAAAAATTATTTGTGAATGTAGGTACGGGCAGATCATCTATAATCATTAATGCTTATAGTAACAATTGATCAACTTCAAAATACTAAAACAAAAAAAAATTATATCATTTTAAAAAGCTTAACCGATAAGTTTTATTGTTCATGACTCAAGCTTCAAAACTTATCGGCTGGTTTTTCTTAAACTGAAAATTTGCTGAGCCTTAGCATTTTGAAAATTCCGAATTTTGTTATACACTTAAGAAATTGAGACCAAGTAAATTTCGTGTAACAACTTTTTTTTCATAGAATATTTTCTATAACATACATTTGATTTATTTGACTCCTTTTTTTTTATTAATAAATAAAAGTTCTTTACAACAAAAAAGTTTAACGAACATATTATATTAAAAGAAAATCATTACCAAATTTGGTTGTGAGATTCAAAATAGTGTGACACGAAAATTATTGTTGGACTCCTGAGCATAACTTCAAATTTAAAGCCGAATTGAATGGTGGCGAGTTTTTAAAAATCCAATGTGTGGATCACATAATATTTCAAAAATTTTAACT